TGTCATAATTGAAATTATTTATATTGACAACTTTTTGAGGGGAAACTATATCCAGTTTCCCATCTTTAAGATCTATTAATTATGTATACACTTTAAAGGCTTTATATGCGATTTTTTGATCCAGCAGATGTCGCCCTTGAGCACCAGCATGAAACCAAAACAACTAGCGATGCATTGTTGTGTTAGCATGCTAATGCTAGCGATCTTTATTATGCTCGTATCATCACACTGCATGTACATTTTCCTGAAATGAGCGTGATCTAGAAACACAGTTAAGCAGTGAGTACAGTATGTTATTCTTCTTTTCTCTAGTCCCTCAGTTAAACAACTTTTATACGTGAGGGGAGGAGTCAGCTGGCCGTCCCGACGATGTAAACAAAGTGAAGATAGGACTCTGAAAACTCTGAAAACATCACAGACAGTGGGACTCGGGTGTTACACCCATTGTAGACAGTCATGACTCACAGAGTTATTTTCAGAGGATATACTTGATTTCTATTACATTTAAGTGTGAAAAATCACATATAAAGCCTTTAAAGATAGTCATTGGTTGATCCACCAGGAAATAAGTGTTTCTTAGCAGCACTCAGACAAAGGTAAGTAAGTAAAAAAGCATGATCAGTACATTCTCAGTTACGGATGAGGCAGTTGTTGTTAAATAACAACCAGTTTATTTATTACTGACACCATAGCAGGATAAGAACGTTTGACATCAATAGCACCTGGAGCAGTTGTTCAAAAAACCCCAGTGGTGCTTATATCCTCCCTATTTTAGATAAGGTTTAAGATTAAGATTTTAGATTCAGGTTGTAGTTGCATCATCAGTTGCTCTTAGGAACTAATAATGCAACTATCCCCTTAATTGACAAAGTGACCAAACACTTGAAACAGACAACACATGATTTAACAGTAACAAAGGTGTTCCACAAGGTTCAATTTTAGGCCCGGTTTTATTTACTATATACATAAACAATATCGTCTCGTCTCTATCAAACTGTGATGCCCATCTTTATGCTGATGACACAGTTCTATATTGTGCGGCTGACTAGGTACATCTTGAAGCCAAAAATTTGCTGCAGTCTTTTAATGTACTGCAGGATACCCTAATATATATTTGCAGTCTTGATTCACTTTGCCAATTAAGGCTGTAGTTGCATCATCAGTTGCTCTTAGGAACTGATAATGCAACTATAACCTTAATTACTTAACGTAATTGGTGAGTCCATGGTAACGTCTCAGATTTGACCATTTTAAACCGCAAGGCACCATCTTGTTGCCTTTATTATTTCAATTATTATTATTATTACAAATAAGTTTAGACTCCAAGAGTCTTTTTTTAGCTTATTTAAATATGCTGATGATATGGCACTCGTTAGCCTCCTATCTGCAGGGGACACTAAAGGAGAGAATATGTAGCTTCTCTCTAGGACTGGTGTCTATCAAGTGCTTTAGAGATATACATTAGTAATACTAAAGAAATGGTCATATCCAGTAAAAACCATATTACTGACTCATGCCAAACCCTAACAATAATGGGGGAAATTGTTGAAACTGTTCATTGTTTTGAATATTTAGCAACTTACAGAGATAGCCATCTCAAATTGATAGATAATACAGACTTTAAAACAGCTCTGCAGAGGCTACACCTACATGGGAAGCTGAATGAGTTTGGGGTGAGTCCAAAGATTATTGAAATGGTAAACAAGACTCTGGTAGAAAGTATTTTGTCTTTTAACATGGTTGCATAGTATGGGCACTTAGATGTCAATGGAAAGGTAAACTGACAAGAGCTGTCAATACAGCCAGTAAAGTCATAGGGAAACCGAACATGTCACTTTGTGACAGGCATGTACTGAACACAAAAAAGAAAGCACTCGACACAACAAGCGACCCCTCTCATCTACTGTACTCCCAGTTTGAAGTGCTTCTGTCAGGTCGCTAAAACATAAACATATCTGCACACTGTTTTAAGAAATGACTGTTTTAAACCTTTAACTTTATGAAATGAATGTCTTAATACTCTAAAACTTATTTATGTTATATTTTTTTAAATGTACTAACCATGTTAACTGTGATGTTGTCGAGGACAGTCGCTCTTCTGGTTTCTTGCTGTATCTGAATATTGTCTTTTTTGTCATTATGTTTTTGATTTTTGTGCTTGTGAAGCCGAAGACAATTTTCCATATTGTGGACCAATAAATTTCTATTCTATGTTTAATATTTCTACTTCAGTGAGATAATCTTATTTCACCAAAGGGCTGTTGTGGCTGTTTCCCCCGAAGTTATATTTTCAATGTGCCCTTATTAAGAGATAGAAAGTGGGTTGGCCAATAAAGGTAAAGTCCGATCCAAGCTCCTTCAGTCAAAAATGTTCAGTGTCATTTAAATATAAATAGAAAAACAATGACACTCATCTCAAGAGAAGTATACCAACTTCCTGTGTCACACAGTAGAACTAAGCTGTCTGGCATTGTTGCAAGTTTGCAGATGCATTGCACTTAAAAACATTAGAAAATAATATCTTTGGGTATATATTAAATAGTGTGTGCAATAAAAAACTTTGATTCATAAAAACATGCAAGATGCAAAAATGTATTTGCAATTACAGCTTTATATAGTTTTAGCATTTCTCCAGCACAGCTCTGCTCTGTTCACATTAAACCAAATGTCACACGTTTGGTCTTTGTACCTCGTGGTTTATATGCTCATTTCACACTCTGTCATTAACTTTAATAAAGGAAGTGCAAAGTGAGGTGTTTTGTAAATGGCACTTATGGCAGGGTTAATAGTCATCGGGTTACTGCAAAGAACTGACAACGTCTTTATTGTTTTTTCCCCTTTACTTCTTAATAAAATCAAGTTTGAAATGTAAGATACATAACAGGTACTACAGCTTTATTAACACAGGGGATCTCAATTCAAGTTACAATGTTGGACTTCCAGAAATGTTCTTGTTGGGATGCATTTGTGAACAGAAATAGCTTTTTTCATTTGGGGTGTTGGAAGGTTGCAATTTATTTTGATTATGACATCTAGCTCCTGTCTTATTCAGTTTGAATCCACTGAATGTGGACCAGTTCTGATAATATTATCTTTGTGACTGTGCTTTATTAAAATGAAAGGCAAGAAATTTCCCTAGTCGTGAAATAAAATAAAATCAGTTTAAGTACAGTATGTCCTATAATGTTGTGTTTTTTTGTGTCTAAAATGTGGCTTAAATGCCAGACTGGACTGTCATATCCATCACAGGCTTAAATTGATTTGTTCTTATCAGAGCAGCATTATAAAGGCTCCACCATACAAATAGAAACCAAACTAAAGAAAAAAACATTCCATGTAATTGTAGAAAACAATCTTTGATTTTCTTGGGAGTTAAAAAAAATTAAAATCTCTTCTTTTTTCAGAAGTGAAATGTTTTTTTCTTTATTCAGATTTCATTTCAGTATTGGAGGGTTGGTACAGAACAGGATGTTCTGCAAGTAAAGCAATAATTATCATGATGACGTCCTCCCTCTGCTGCTGCTCATTCAGTACTACAGGCCGGCATTCAACTCCACTTAAAAAATATTGGGCCTTTGAAAAAATGCAATTCATATTATTTCACAGAGTGGCACTCACTGCATGAAGAATTCACCAGAAATTGTGTGAAATTCATTACAGCTGTAGTACATTCACAGTTTCTTCAGCAGATCATGATGTTGTGTTTCTATGCAGGAATAACTGTATTTTTTCACAAGGGTTGTTGGAATCTGGAAATGAGAGACTTGGTTGATGTCTGGAAAGTTAGAACAAGTTTTAAACATCAAAAAGCTCAGATGGTTGCTGAATTGCCTCTTCATGATCATTCATCTGTTTCCGACTCATTGTTAGGTGGATTTTACAGCACATGTTTGTCTAAAGTTGTAAAAAAAAAAAACCTTGCTTCTTTAGATGATGAAGATAAACTGCACAAGTGACCATTAATCTTAGTGAATTCATTGTTAATTAAAAAAAAAACATCAACATCCATTAACATCAACATCCTCTGTTCATTAGCTCTCGTCTGTCTTTGTCTCCTTCCTTCTGTCAAAACAGAAGTTTTTGAAGTGAAGCTGCCTGACACGAGGGAATTGATGTATCCACCGACTATTTATAACAGAGAGAGCAGGTGTGCTGGTACACAGAGGCAACAGTGATTGGTTGGGATCTTCAGATGGTTCTTTGTGCTTGTGTAAATAATGCACACATATAGGCTCCACACCAGCAACATACTTGCCTTGTCCTATGGAAACATGCATGCACTCGTAAATTCACGTCCTTTCCACAACCATTTTTACTGTGCAGGACCATGAGACTAACGCATTTCCATCTCTGCACACATTAAAGCAATAACCCTAAGTGCCTAATAACCCATTTAACCCATAACCCCTTGCTGCTGCATCTATACATAGATATCAGAAGATTGATTTTAATTGAAGAAAGCAACACATCTTAAATGATGGAAATGTTGTCAAATGAAAAGAGAAACATACGCTTCTTCTTTTACCCTCTCCCTTGGGGGAAAGGCAGGCCCACCCACACCAGATCCTCTGAGCAACAAATCAACACTTAACAGCAGATCAAGTTTTAAAATAAATGATCCTACAACAGTTTCCAACACCATGTAGAGTATATTCAGGCAGCCACCTGTGAGCTCGCCTCATTCCTCAAACAGTTAGGTTTAAGAGGTCAATAAAGCAGGCAGTGGTTTACAAAACATCTCACACATAACCCATTACCACCAAAGTGTAGTAGTGTTAAATCAGGAGAAAAAAAGAAACAGCAGTTCATGAGAAGCCCAGGTGGGTGAAAGCTAGCTTTGTTTGCATATGCTTTTTGATTGTGGTCATTTGCACCTATACCTGAAGTGAGACTGAAAGCTGTGCTGCAACCTCAAAAAGGAAGTAGGCGAGGCCTATTTTGACGGCAACCGTGCTATAAAATATATTCCCTGAGAAACTTTAGTGAAGTCTTACTTTGTATGTAAACAGGATGGAGCACTGCTGAACTGAACAGAGAGAGGGCGTGTGCTTTTATTCATGGAGCCTGACAGTTCCACAAAGATTTGCTGAATCTGACTGTTTCTATGGACTTTAATGGACTTATTCTCTGAATTCAACATTGGGGAGTTATTAATTCAAGACTGGAACCAAGGTATTATTTGGCACACGTGAGGATACCTAGTTTCTTGGGCTCTGGATTACTCAGATTCAACATTGTGGCAATGCCTGTGATTGTACTGGAGGCCAGAGACTTAATCAGTCCTCTGTTTTTGATACGGACATGGGAGATCTTATCAGGCTGCACCACTTTCAGTCTTGTGGCCTCACTGGAAGATTCCGAGTTAAATAAAAATCCATCCACCCTCCGCTTCAACACATTCAGGGTCTTCTGCATGTTCACCTGGTGCTTCTTCTTCACCCTTTCGCTACTGATCCACATCCTCAGTGTCATCCAGTTTCACAGCCTTATACCAATATCCTGGAAGAACCTAACGATGACCGTGGCAGTTTTAGGTGGATTGATGTGTTTCACGGCCTCTGTGCTTTTTCCTTGGATCATCATGGATCACCAAAGGGTATCACCACGTCCTCTGGTGGCTGCTGTGACCTCCTGCCTCACTGTCCTGGCCTACTCCTCCGAGTCCTACATTCTTCGCACCCAAGCCCACGAGCACAGAGGCTACATGGGCAGCCTGCCTGGTCTCCTTAAGACAATCCAACTCTGGGGAGGCTTTCAGATGATACCCCTGGTTGTAGAGGTGGTCTTTGGACTGCAAAGAGGAGTACACAGTTGGCAGGTGTGGGTCACTGGCGTGTCATACGGTGTGTGTCTCCTCATGTCCCTTGTCACACTGGTGGTGATATTAGGTGACCTTGCTGGGAGATGCCCCTTACCTTTTGACAGATTTTTGGCTGGTTTCACTGTAATTGGGGTTTTGCTTTATATGGTGGCCACAGTGATTTGTTTTACCAAGATTCTTCAGCTAAGAGAACTCGAACAACAAGTTTCCAATGAAAGTGCAGGGCTGGTTATCATGGAAACAGTGGTTGCAGGTATTACACTGTTAGCTTATACAGTTGACCTTGCCTTTTCCACGAAACTGTTATGTGACAGGAGTCATGTATGACGTTATTTTTTATGAGCAAAACCATGTGATTTTTATGTTGAGTTATTGCTGTATGATCAAACAGGCCTCTCTTTTAAGAGATAAACTACATTTTGAAATATATGTAATGTATTGTTTTGTTGAGTTTCACAAAATTGGACGTGTTCAGCTGACCATAAAATATTTAGCCTAAGTGACGTGTATGATGGTGTTCACTTCGACACATAAACTGTACAACTAAATCAGGGTTCAGTGCACTGACTTGTAAATACACAGCTTCTTTTATTGACATGTTCTATCCAAAACAGCAGTTATCACTCATAAAGCCGATAAAATTATTTCATTACTTTTACATTATTTAGAAAAGAGGGTCCACAAAAATGACCCAACCAAAGAATTGCAGACTAAAAACAATATACATCTCAAGTCTTATGTTTGTTTTTTTGTTTGTTTAGATTGTAAACTCAAATTCAAATTCAAATTCAAATTCAAAAAAACATTGTCCCCGGGGGCAATTCAAAGTCCACAGAGCATTAAATTAACAACAGCGCAAGTAAACGAAACATTTTAACCTAAATATAAAGTGTCAATTTAAATACAACTTAAAGCTTAAACTTAACTTCAAAATACAAAATATAAAAGAGTAGATATAAGTGGACAGTGATCGGACTAACAGATGTAAACAGATATAACCAGAACTATGTGCAGTAGTGACCAGATGTAAACAGAACTATGTGCAGTAAACAAGAAATAAATATATATATACAGAACTATGTGCAAGTAGGCAAATACTAAATGATAAGTTAATAAGGTGCATGGTGAATAATGGAACAACAGAACTAATATATACAATATAACTGTAAAGGTAAAAATGAGATAAATAAAGTGACCGTAGTGCAATGATGGATAAGAACAACAGGAATAAAGTAACCAGAACTGTATGAATACTGATATAGAAAGGATAGAATAAAGTGATGAGGATAGGTAAAGTGATGAATATATGATATATAACTTTTTACAAGCTTTCTGTATTCTACATATAGTAAGAACAGTTGCTTTTCAATAACACTAGGTGGCAACACTCTAATATGATGGGTACGTAAAATCACTGGACTTTATTTGATGTGTTTATGCAGCAGAAATGCTTTGGTCGTGACGATATTTTATTGTGTCCTTAACCTTCAATCACATTATTTAATTTAAACCTTTCGGGTTCATTCAAACTTAAATCTTTTTCACCCGGGAATAAAAAAGTGAGTCTTTCATATTCTGATTATGTTACAACTTACTGGCTTTATTCAAAAAGACGAGGCATGCAAAACATTAACTTACCCAGAGCTTATTAACGTTACAAACGGAGACCTATTTAATTAAAACTAATAATGCAATCACAGCCCATTCAATTGACTGATTTTTATGTCGTATTTATAATACCGAGTAATTTTCTTCTATTTTACTTGTATACGCGACTAAAGACGGTGAAACCAAAGGGGGAAACATTTCTAATAACTTATTTACATTTACAATGTTTACCTTCTCACATCTGTCTCGTCTGATCTAAGGCTTCATAGAAGATCAATCGAAAAATCGATTTCCAATCCTCGACCAGACGGCGAACAAATTACGTGGGTACTCTGGCTCGATTGCTCTTGACTTGGTAGGTCTGTTGCGTTTTTTCTTTAAGGAACTGGGTCCCAGTTAGTCAGTTTGTCAACAGGCTGGGCGAGAAAACGAACCGTCGATACAACTTGGTACGTGGAAGTGATAACTCAAACGTTACCGTACGTTTCCCTGTTGAGAAAAACCTTTTAACTCGTCTGGTTTTTGTTGGTGTGTACTCGGACAAACATGAAGTTCCCCTGACACGGTAAGATATCTTCGATTTGTCTCTTTTTTGAAAGATTGTTGCGAGTTAACCTCGACTAGCCGCACTTCAAAACAATTTAGAGATATTACTAGTTTGTCCTTGTTCCATCTTTCCTCCCTTACACTTCCATTTTTAACCACATTTGAGCTAAAGGCGTGAAAAGTGTGTCTGTCAGCGTTGTTGCTGGCTTTTAATCTTACATGCATCACAAGACAGGCTGCTTTCACTGGGTGTTGTTTGGTTTCAAAGCTTGCCTAGACTTGGTTTTATTTAGACAGCTCAGTATATTTAGTTATTATACGCTACCTGCCACTGGAAATGTGTAATATTTAATACCATGTGGTCACAGTCCACAAACATTTGATAGCCAACAAAGGGCGACCAGGGTAACTACTTATTGTCCAACAAATAAACGCCTTAATGTCTGTCTTTTAGTTTGTATATTTACAAATGTACTGATTTAGCATGTCTCCTGTTTTTAGTCTGTTCTTCAGAAGCCCCCAGAGCATCATGGAAATGTGAAACTTGACTCTCCAGTAAGGCAGATGCAAGTCCCAGGCTGGATTGAATGGCACTGAGGATACAAGGTAAGCACTTTGCCAGTAAAACTCATTATTGATCAATTTCCTTGGTTAGGGCAAAGTCTAGATAGAGAGAGGGGGGAAATGTGGGAAAGGAAGGACAAACCGCTCTTGAAAATGAAGATCTGAGTAGGAACATACAAAAATCAGTTTAGCTTTCAAGGGTCATAGGGAACTCAATTGAATTATCAAGACCATGTAAAGTGATGACCCTTAAGTGAAGGAGCACAGAGCGACATATTGCAAATTACTGTGTCTATCCGACTTATCACGTGGGAATCAACTCCAAAAAAAAAGCAGGTTTGCTTTCTTTGTTAATCACCTCCTGCTGCAGTAATGATCTTACATGGCTAGCTTTTCATCCGTTTTTAGAAACGGCACAGACTTCAAACTAGAGGAGAAATCTTTTTTTGTGTCAAAACTGTTTACAATCACAAGGCTTGTCTTCATGTGGGCCAACAGTTACACTTAATGGCATTCAGGCTAAAGCCCTTAAGAGTGGATGATTAAAGTCAATAGCTGCAAGGTGTTTTACAGGTTTCTCTGCACACATTGACCTCAAGGTATGCGTAAAATGTAAAGTAACTTGCTATGCAAGGTTTCTAGGCATAGTGACCTGCTCACTAAAGAGAGACCACTGTAAACACACCAAAGTGTGTTTACAGTGGTCTCTCTTTAGTTTCCCTGCATCTGTTCTTGTTTATTGCATATAGCTATGTCTCCCATATAGAGAACATCAGTCACTTGTGGATTGTTTATTGGCCAATAAGGGTATTTCAATATGTCTCGTAAGTGTTGACTGCTTTTACTGTTGCCTCTCTGAACGCTGTCATTGAGTTGGTTGTTATGGACCTTTAAACAGGCTTTAAGATCCTGGGGCCAAAGTCACACAGGAACAATTTGTTGATCACAAAATCTGCAGAAATAAACATTCCCATACCCCCAGTCTTACACACAAGAATAGTTTTGATATTATTATTGGGTTTCCTAAGTGACCTTTGTGTCTCTCCTTATCCCCCTTATTTATTGCAAAACCACTATGGTTCTGAACCTTGAACTTCAACAGCATTCTTTTTCAAATGTTTTTGCAGGCACTTGTCATTACAGTTCCTGTGTTGTTGAGTCAATAACACAAAGTGCACTGCTTAGTGATTTTCCTTGAAACTGGAACACATGTTGTGACCTCTGTCCATACTGATGGTTTCTTTCTCATCACAACATTCCACTTGTGTTCTACAGTTTTTAAAGCTCTCTTCCTGGTGGTTCGTGGCAATTTGAAAATCCACGAGGAGGAGACTTTATTTGATAATATATTATTAATCCCAAAGACATTTAAAACTAACTTGTAAATAGGCATTACAATTTAAAAATGCTTGAATGTAGTATGCTATCTTCCTTGAATTTCATTCCAAGTACACGATTGGACTCAAAATGTAAGAAATACAAACATAATAGGAGACCAAAGTTTTTGTTTAGCATAAAATAAATGTTTTGTCTTATAAGTTATACGTTGTTTTATAAAATATACCTTTTAATAAAGATTCACTGAGCCACATTTTTTCAGTTCGGATAATGATTAATAATGTAAATTATTAAATAACTTCACATACAAACAGGAAGCAGCAACTACTGTCAGATTTTCAAATTAAATCTTTTGAACTGAAATGTGAGCGTTGTATATTGATCACATAAAAGAAGCTGTTCCATCTCGTCTGAACCTCATGATGGAGATGATTTGTGGGCACTTCTTACAGTTCAGTCTGAACGTCTTCAAAGTGAGACTGTACGAGCTGAGAATGTTTTTTATTTTTTTAATACTCTTTATTGAAAATTTCAATACCCCACACAGTACCCCCCCACCCCAAGTGACCAGACAGTATATTCGACTAAACAGAAATAATTACAGAATAAAATAGAAAACAAATGAATAATAAAATAATGAAAAACAATAATAATTTAAAAAAGAAACTAAAACAAACCTAAATATATGTAAATTTACATGCTCTTACACTCTCACAAATATACATGTTTATACATGAAAGGAAATAATAATAATAATAAAAAGAGATAGACTTAACTTAAAAAACAACTACAATAACATAAATGTATCATATGAATTCAGAAAAATAATAAGAAAAAAATAAAATAAAAATAACTTCCAGCCTACTGTATGTAGATAAAAGTGTCGGATAACCAGTCATCAGCAGCCTGAGCTGAGAATGTTTAAAGTGTCCAACCATCTTTCTCGATCTGTGACGTGGATCGAGTGTTTGTAGTTTTCAAAAAACATGGGACTAAATCTCTGCCCCTGCTAAATTTCATTCATTTTCATATGAAAATAATTCAATTGCAGCACTTTTCTTCGTCCTTTCATGAATGGGACCCTTTTTTGTTTTTTTTACTTTTTTCACTCAGAATTTTGATTTGAGTTTTTTTTGCACAACTTACATGCACTTCCTTTGGTTAAATTGTGCACCTTCACTTTTTACAATATATTGTCTGTTTATTGTGTGACACCTTACAGTGTCAATTATTAAGTCCAGAGAGATTATGTTTTTTCTTATAAAACCTGTAAGGTGTAATGACGACATCAGTTTAAAACAGCCTCCATAAGAAATTATCATGAACTAAGCAAGAGGGGAAAATTGAGTGCAGAGGGTTACATCCTGTTTATCAGTGGGTTTTTTTTACCATCAACATATCCAAAGAAAAGACCAAGAACCTCGAGCCCTCCAATGATCAGTGTGATGAGTGTTCCTCAAAACATAAAAAAAGACATACCATCATCAAAACATCAGTGTTAGTTGTTGGTAAATCTGTGGATACTCTAGTGTCAAATAGAGTGGATTAAAAGTGCATCCACATGCTGTAGATATTTCATGTTTTGTTGTACAGTAGGCTTTACTTAACTATAGATTTGCACCAGTCTTCAACTCCAAACACGCTGCTTGATGTTAGAATAAAAAATGAAAAACATGTTCAAAAAGGATAAATTCATAGGATATTTTTGATAATGGAAACATAGTACAAAAATGCTGCAGTTATCCATTACCTCACATCTGTCACAGAGATGGCATTGAAGGCTTTATGAGCTGTCATGTTAGAAAGTAAGGGTGAGAGGAGAAGGTGTCAGTTTGCCAGTGGAAGTGGAAAACAAAACGGCAACAGAATGAAAGAGGTTTTAGTTTTTGAGCAGCAGGTGCATTGACCTTTCACCGGTAATAATAAACTTTTCACACTGAGACGAGGAACATGTGCTGCTGATCATACTCTGAGAAGGAATAATCCGATACCTTTTGACTCTACACCTGTTCAAAGCTTGAACTCTTTTCATGGCCTTAGTTCTCAGGTCATTTCATTATACAGAAATGACCTGTTTTGATCAGCTGAGATGTTGCAGAGTACTTCATGACGGGCTTTACAAATGAAAAAAAGTCAGACTCTAAGTGCTGAAGACTGTGGCATTTCTTTACAATGGCCTGGTTACAACACCATTCAACAAGGTTTTACAACACAGTCTAATTTGCTTAACTTCTTTAAACAGGAGGCCAATAGAAAGTGCTAAAGTCTTATGCATAGTATTTTCACTCTGCTCTGTTTTTATGCAGTTTGCCTTCTGTCATATGCTGAACTTATTTGGCTTTTGGTTTGAAACATGTCACAGTTTTCAGGCCTCTTACTCGAGGCTTATTTGGATTAAATAGAAAAAACCAAGTCTCCTCTTCTTACAACACAGCCTTTTGATTCAATTAAGAAAGGGGTGGTTAGTGCCTTGCTTCAGGGTTACCCTCTTACTGCTTACTCAACCATAATGTCACGCTCCTTAAGAAAAGTTTTGAGGTCAACATGTATTCAAATAATCTTCATTATTTTATAAAAGTGATGGAAAGGCTAGTCATCTTGCTAAGCTTGACAGGTCACAATCTTGAAAACAATGCAAATGACAGCAAGCCTTGCCTTGTTGTCACATGACTACATACTGGGGGAGGCAACTACATTTTTTTATTGGAGCAATGTCCAGGTCTTTGTTAGACCTGATCTTTCGAGAATTCCACATAGGGGTGTGTCTTTGATGATATAGATAATTGTGATGTCTGTCAGTAGAATACTGGCAGTGTCATACAGTAGGTACAAAGGCCTTGAATCCTCGACCAAAGCACGTTTAGGGCCTCTGGGCATTTGTTTGGCGTTTGAGTGTTGTTCCAAATGTTTATATCTTGAGTGTTGTGTTGTGTTTGAGTGTTGTGTTAAATTTTGTATCTTTGTTTCCTGTCTTAATTGTTGTGCCGCAAACGAAGCCGCTGTGATGCAAGGCAAATTTCAGACTACGTCTGACAATAAAGTATTATCTATCTATCTATCTATCTTGTACTACTTATAAGTACTTTGTAAACAACAGTAGATCTAGAAATACGCGTTGACATTATCCATTTTCATTGTCTATAATAAGAGAAAGTCAGCAATGTCATATAGAGTTTAGGGAGCTTGTACGTTTTTTTTACATTGCTACAATTCCTTATTAATTCAGATGCCAGCATTGCTGTTGTTACAGAAAGGTGCAGCTCCCTAACTTGTTTATCAGCTATAGAAAATGTGTCAGCCTGCCAGCCATCAACATTTACTGGCCCTTCTTCAGGTGCTATCTGCATCGTGCTAAGACAGTACCATTCATCTCCCTACAAATAATAATCACTTGTCACAGGGGAGAGAGAAAGAGGCAAGGTGGGAAGTTGGAAGATGTATAAAAATAGCCTCGCTATAAATATAAGAGTTTCTCACTTGATACTGAGACATCATTTACAAAGCCTGTGCAAACAAACAAAGATGACTGAGCATTAGTGAATTCCTTTTCTGTTAATTTGAGCCCAGAGGAATAGAGGATCTGTCCTTGTTTATAAGAATAATGTTGCTCCTTTGGGATATCTCAGTCACTCACCATGATCTACAGACAAACACAGACCATCTTAGTCTCCCATGGGCTGCACTCAGTCTTGAAAACAGTGTAG